AAGATTCTAATAATTGATAAGCCATCAAGCATCTCAATAGTAGTTGGATAGTAATCGATTTGTTTGCTAAATTTTGTGTTTTGGATTTACACAGTAAAGTAAAAGCATTTAATCTTACCTCTGATATTACAAAAAATATCTCTGTTACTAAAGAAAAAAATTATGATGCTAGATATTTTTTTCTTTGTAATCAAGAAGCATAATGATTATTAATTGTATTATTATCTGAATATACTGTTTTTACATCTGCAGGTAAAAAATGGTTTAAAATGTTAATTTTAGAAGATAATAATCAATTACTTTTTCTTTGGAAGGAATTTGGTTCTGATAAATCATATGTTAAGAAAAGAGCACAAGGTGTTGAGTGGCTTGCATTTTATTGTATGTTGAAAAAATATTATCTTAATTCTAACAATTTTATTCAAGTGGTTCTTGGTCTTAATAATTTGAAAATAGTTAATAAGTTACAAAAACTTATTCATGAAAGATTTTTAACTGTTTTTCAATCCATTGTTACTTTACCAGAAAATTCAAAATTAATTAATACAAAAAAAAGAAATGAAATATTATGATACAGTTTAAAATGAGAATAAGAAAAATTGATTCAATATTTTGTAAAGAAAATAATAACAATAATATTCTATTCAGAATTTCAGTTGTATCTGATAGAAAAAAATTATCCTCAAAGGAGACACAAGCTTTAATATTAAAAAGTTTAAAATATAAATAAACAATTTACTCACGAAATAAAATAATAAAGTCTTTAAAAGAAAAAGTTACTTCAGCCAAAAAAGATGATGATATAATTATATGTAATAATACAAAAATTCAAGAACTAGTAGAAAAGGAAATTGAAGAAAAAAAAGTTGGATCAACTATTTTTATGAGTATCTTATAATACCTTTCTATTCTTTTTTCATTATCTTATCCAAACTGTCTTGATATAATGGTATCAAACTGAACATTTTACACTACTATATCAGGATTTAATATATCTTGTGTTATTCATTATCTTCTATGTAAAACATCAACTCAATATACGAATGAAGACTCTAAAGTAAAATATTCTTATTTAGTTGCAGAAGCTACACTTGCTAAAGGAATAAATAGAAATTCTTTTCAAACCGCATTGGCAACAATAGGGGTAACAAATCAATGTAGCAAACAAACTTATCATAATTATCAAAATCACATGTACAAACCAATTATTGAAGACGCAAAATTTAGTAGCATGACAATTTTACTTGAAATTTTAGATCAATTAGAAGCAAATCATTTACCAAATCAAGAGAAAATATTACCTGTAGGTTTTGATTGTTCATGATCACATTTCTGAAATGCGTATCAAACCAGTAGAGAATTTTTATATTTAGGTGATCTTTCTGGTAAGTAAAAAAAATTTAATCTATATAATATTTATAAATTAAAATAATTAAATAAATTATTATTAGAGTAATGATCAACCTGTAATCAGATTCTATACAGTGGAAAATTCTCGTTCAACAAAATCTAAGAATAATACTTCAGTAACAATTTATAAGAAAAATTTTGATGGAACTTCAAGACAAATGGAACACGCCAATTTTGCTTGTATTACTTAATGATCTAATACCTATTTTAAAAGAAACTGATTTTACCTTATATATATTCATTGATGGTGATCTTGAAACTTATTGAATTTTAGCTTGTATTCTGACAATAAGTCGTATATTTACTGATTTAAAACATGTTAGCAAAATTATCTGAAGGAACTTATGTACAGGGGTGATCTTAGTTATCTGAACAATTAATATTTCGTTCAATTAAAAGTAACATTTTTAGGTAAGTAAACTTTTATTTATTTTTATTTATTATAATTATTTATATTATATTTTATTAAAAAAATAAATAAAAAACTAATATTTTGTTGCCTCATACTCGGCTGTTATATACACTTGAATTTGACGAGGTATACTTTTGATTAAATTTTGAATATGTTCAAGTAGAATTGAACGCCAAGCCTATTTACTTTACGTTTCAAATCTTGTAAGCTTGTGGTTAGTTAGGCAAGTTACATACTTGCTTGTCAATTTCATTTCAAAGGTTTTTGATCAGATTTAGATCAAGACTTTGTGCAGGCTAAGATAATGCAGAAATGCCTGCAATATCGTGAACTTTGGCAGATATTTTATCATGATAAGGTGAAGCATTATCTTCTTAAAAAATACCTTGTTTACGAGGTACCAATTTATAAAGTGATGAAATAGTATATTCTGTAATACTTTTACATATATTTGTTCTGCTACAGTTTCACAAAGAGAAACAAGTGACCCTAATCCATACCATGAAAAGTATTTCCAAAACATGCGACTGGGACTATGCTTTACTGTAACAGTTAAACAGGAGGAGTCAAATTTTTTCTCGGTATTCACCATACATATAAACTATGACCTTGTGAAAATTGGCTAAATGTGAATTCATTAGATTATACAATCTTTTTCCACTTTGCAATTGTCTAATCTTATTGTTCCAATACCTAAGTCAATTTTTTTTGTTTGTTAATTTCTGAAATTAATAGTTTTAGGCAAGCCAAACATAAGCGTAGGCCAATTTTTATAAGAGTTCGATGAATAGTAATTGTTGAGACTTTCTTTTTTTTAATGAGTAACTCTTGAATTTTACGAGTGGTAAAGCGGCAGTGCTTTGAATCTTGTGTAATAAGCTTTTTAAGCGATAGAAATTCCTTCAAATTAAAAATCATTTTCAAGCTACAATATTTTTTTGGTATTGCAGATTCTGTTTTTTTAAAATGTTTTATTGCATCATGAACTGTTGTTTTATCACATCCAACAATTTTTTATATAAATCTTCCTATTTATAACCATAAAGAATTGCTTCATATTATTCTTCAGTTAATTTTTTTGTTTAACCATTTTTAGTTTGAAGTAAATAAAGGGCTGGTAATTATTATGATCTATATGCATGAATTGTTTAAATAATTAATTTTTAAATTAGAAATTGCTGCGTAAATAAAAATATAAACAAAGTAAATAAATAAAATAAACAAAATACTTATCATTCAGGTAACCGAGATCATACTTTGTAAGTATATATTAGCTATTATTTATACATATGGGAGCTGATCTATTAAAAGTGGGTTTCGAGACTATAAATTGATTTTGAGTAATTGATGATCAAAAAAATGTTACGCCACAATAAACATACTTGGCCAATAAAAAATTGCACTAAAAATAATATTGAGTCTAATCAATTAATAAGGTGATACTTTAATTTTATATATATAACATTTATTATAATAATTATTTTTATAAATATTAAATTATTTAAAAATAATGTTACTATGAAATATCTAAAATTTTGCTATTAAAATTATACTTCGAAGTATTGTTATGCTAATTTCGTAACATAAAAGATTTTTGATATTTTGCTATTAAAACCATGCTCCAAAGCATTTTTATATATGTCAATCATTTGTTTATCATTGCTAAAATTTACGTCGATCATTTCTATAAAATCTAATTTTAGATATTTGATTGATATAACACAGAAATTTAAGCATTTTTGTCGGCCAAATTACTTGTTTTATCAATAAGCTAATAGCCTCTAAAAATTTACCCAAATAAAGTTCATATGATATACTATAATATGAATCAAAAATCTCATTTTTTGTAAAAATTTCCCGTAACCTATTTTTAATAGATCAGCTCCCATATACAAAATTTTTAGTTATATTATAATAAATAAGCTTTTATAAAATAATATATTCTAAAATCTACTATTCATGTACTTTTTTTTATTAGTTTACTTTATAATTAATAAAATTTTAATATATTAATAGTAAAAAAAAGTATTCGTATTATCATACTTTAAATAGCATATTATACAATACTTTAATTCCTGTATATTTAGTGCTGGAATTCAAAAAAAAAGTAATCCAGAAGATGCACCAAATGAAGAAAAAACACGATATATACAAGTAGAAGGCTTAATTCAATATCTACTTATTATCATAATTTATATTAGAGTGATGTTTGCTGGATAAAAGATAATTCAGAATTGCAGTTACAAGAACTAACTTTGAAAATTGTACTCAAATTAAAATCGAAAATTTTTGAAATGTTATTACAACAAATTTTTGTATACCATTTGATCAAGGCCTTGTAACTACATTGTGTATTTCATATAATAAGACATTTAACAGAAAAATACTTAAATACTTAGATAAACGAATTGATTATTGGGCTTCATATAGTATTTGTTATGCATTAGCAGTAATTGATCAAAATGATAGATTGGATGTAATGATTTCAAAAGTTTGTATAGCAGCTACAGGAATAGATTTTTCATTTTCAGATACACATAATATATTAAAATTTGTTCAAAAAAGATCTCAGCAAGTTATTAGAAATCATTACACAATTCAATAATAAAATGAAACAAGAAAAAGAGCAGTTTGCAAATGAGAAAAAAAAACTTATGGGTTTTGATTTTGATAAGGTAATTATAAATTTTTCTTTATATATTATATAAATTTTATTAATAAATATTTTTTTTTAATTGTAAGAATTAGTATCTTACAAAAATAAAACCTTGGAACAAATTCGTAAAAAAACCTTTTGGCTATCATTTGGGAGCGTTTCCAGTAAAATCACATTACGGATCATATGATTTACTATGCCTCATGACTTGATTTTACTGGAAACGTTCCCATTTGGTAATTTTATAGTAGATTTTGATATAATTATAAAATGTATTATGTGTAAAGCATTTGCAAAAAAGGGATCACGTAATTTATGTAACATTTGTTTATTTTATGTGGATGTGAGACTGTGACATCAAATTATTGATGCTACATAAATGTATATACCTAAAAGATAAAAACCAGAATTACCTAATAAAGAAACACTTTTTTCATTTGCTGCATCAAGAATTTTTGGATTTGATGAATTCCAAAATGGATAAATGAAAGCCATCATTATAATAAAGATATTTTTATATCTATGAAAACTGATGGAGGAAAAAATTTATGTTATGCTCTATCAGCTGTTTGTTTTACAAGTTTAACTATTGTATTTAGTCCTCTTAAAGCACTTATAGAAGATCAAAAGGTAGGTTAAAAATCAATAAATTATATAATAAATTAATATCTATACTCATATAATTTTGATTATTAACAGGAACCTATAAAGGCAGGCATTCCAAGTGTTACTCTTTATGCTAATTTAGCATAAGAAACTCGTATTCAGAAAAAAATCTTTGAAGAAATAGCATATGGATTGATAAAAATATTATTTGTTACACCTGAAAAATTAATATTTAACGAAGGATTTTGTAGATTTATTACACAATTATATGAAGAAAGAAAGTTTAATTTGTAATCGATAAAATACATTGTATTATAGTTATTAGGATTTTAGGTAAATTTAGAGTTATGCAAATAATAATTTTTTCTAAAATCATAAAATAATTGTTTAGGTTTTTATTTTTTGTGCACTTGCACAAAATGCAAGGGGTGCATAAAAATATGAAATGATTATCAAAATTTTTTTTTTTATGGTATAAAAATTTTACAATGCATATTTTTTCTTGTATGCACCCACTTTAATAATATAAAATTAATTATATTAAAATATAACGAAAATACATGTAAAGCAGCAATATAGCATAGTATTTGACATAAACTCAATAAGAAAATAAAAACTTTAATGCATTCTGGCAACCGAAGGGAGCCATTAAGTTAATCACACTTCTTGCCTTCTTTTCTTCCAACCAGGATTTGATGGACACATTGCACGATTATGCCCCACATTATTACATAAACTACACTTATTTTGAGTTCGATTACTAGCATTAGAGGTTTCCAAAGGTCCTTTAAATCTTGCAGTTCCTGCTGGCCTTCCTTTAGGACGTCTGATTAAAGGAT